TTTTATAGGGTGAGCAAAAACATGCAGTTTAGTGTCTGTCCCTTTAAATGCAAATGAGCTGCTGCTCTCAGCACAGGGGGCGGAGCTTCAGCTTGTGTCCTTTTACCTCACACTGAAAATGTCAATGTTTGTGTTCAAATGAGTCAGACAATAATGGATAAATGTCGATAATGGAGAGACTGTTAGTCGATGAATTTATGTAACTTATGTGTACACTGTAAAAAAAAATCAGTTAAATTTACGGGAAAACTCCGGCAGCTTTGGTTACCAGAGTTTTCCTGTTAAAAGTACGGTAGCAACATTTTAGGTTTTACAAACTTTGACCGTATTTAATTTTACAGCAATAAACCGTATTTCATTATTTGATATAATGTTGATTTACTGACATTTTGAAGTATTAATATCTGTTTTGTTCAATTACAATACACCGACAGCCATCAATCACATCAATAATGAGAGTCAAATGATCAATCAAAGCTCATCATTATCAGCTCTTCCACAAGAAAATTGATACTACTATATAGAAGCTGCACAGTCTCATTCACACAAACATTAACATCATGGTAACATGTTGAAATTTTAAAAAATAAAATAAGAATTAATTTAACAACGTTAAAATGTAACATAAAACCCTAATGAACATAACTTTTAAGAAAAAACTAAGAAAATTATGAATAAACAGTTAAAATACATTAAATGTGAAGTGTCACGCAGGGAATTGTGGGAAAGTCAATTTACATTTTTTCACTGTAAATTATACAATGACTTCTTTTTCACTTCCAAAAACTGTAAATTTAACAGTATTTTACGGTAAAACTACATTAAATGTACCATTATATATATCACAGTTATTTACCGTATAAGGAAACTTTCTGTTAACCAATTAACAGTTTTTCACTGTAGCATTTTTACAGTCTTATACTGTTAAAATCACGATCATTTTTTACAGTGTAGTTATCTTCTACTCATTGATAATCTATAAATCGTGTTCAGGGGGTGTTACATGTACATTTATGTACATTCTAGGCTTAGTGATGTCACTAACCCGGTAGGAATGTGGTGTAGTCCCTACCAGCCGTTTGTTGTAGTCCTTAAAGAACTATTTCTATTTCTTTAAAAGCAAATATAAAATAAAGAGAGCTTTGTAACTTTGCAGATGTTGTTTATGCTCAAACAGCAACATTACACACCAACTAAAGTTAGAAAAGTGAAATCATTGACAGAAAGAAACAGTTGTGAGTTGTGAAATTGACATGATCAAGGACCTGTGTGCGATCCATCACAGCCACGTTTTCATTCACATTCGGTTACACTTTATTTTGATGGTTCCCCAACACACATAAGTAACTTTGCAACTAGCTCTCATTAGAGTATTAGTAGACTGTAGGTTCGGGTTCTGGTTAGTAGAATAAGTTGACATGTCATTGTAAAGTTACTGATAGTCAGTAGAATATCTGTTGAGGCGCATCAAAATAGAGTCACTATAATAACTGATAGTTGACATGGAGTCACTTTTATTCAACAGAGGGGACCATCAAAATGATATGAAGAGTTCAGATGCAAAAGCCTCTAAATGCCATTTGAAATTTTCTTCTTTAATGATGATTTTTGTCAAACTTGTATATTTAAGTTCAGTAATTTCACTTAAATAACAATTAATAGGTAATTATCATTGCCATTTAAGTGAAATTACTGAACTTAAATATACAAGCTTGATAAAAATCATCATTTTAGAAGAAAATTTCAAATGGCACTTAGAGGCTTTTGCATCTGAACTCTTCATATGTTAACCTGCATTCAATTCAATATGGCGTCTAACCTAACTAAGGTCCATAAACCTAAATAAAGACTGAGACTCATAAATGGAACTGACCTACAAAGTATGAGCCGTGTGAGCGGATGTAGAGCCGATGTCCCTCGTCCGCTTCCTCCTGCACCTGCTGTGCGCTTTTAGGGGGATTGATCACCTCACCACCATTAGAAACTGCATTTAAAAGAATAAGCACATTTGCTTTAAAAAGTCAATTCATGAGCATGCCACTGAAGTTTCATTATAGTTGTGTCCCAAATGACGCACGTATACTCTATACCCTCAACTGTGCAGTGTATGAATTAATTAAGGTTAATTTGTCATTCATCGTTTCATTTTGTAATTAAAGCATGGACAGCTGAGTGCATGAAGTGTTTGTTTTTTCATTTAAATAAGTGCATCATGTTCTACTACTCCTATATTGAAAGTGTCATTACATTCACCATTGTCTCCAAAATAGAAATAGTCTGGAGAGCTTGGTTTAAAGGAGTAGTTCACTTTTTAAAAAAAAAACTTTTGCTGATGATTTACTCACCCCCGTGTCATCCAAGATGTCCATGTCTTTCTTTCTTCAGTCGAAAAGAAATTAAGGTTTTTGATGAAAACATTCCAGGATTTTCTCCATATAATGGACTTCAATGGGGTCCAAAACACAGTTTCAGTGCAGCTTCAAAGGGCTTTCAATGACACCAGACGATGAATAAGGGTCTTATTCGCTAATTCGATCGTTTTGCTTGATAAGACCCTTATTCGTCGTCTGGTGTCGTTTAAAGCTGCACTGAAACTCTCATTTGGACCTTCAACCGTTTGGACCCCATTGAAGTCCATTATATGGAGAAAAATCCTGGAATGTTTTCATCAAAAACCTTAATTTATTTTCGACTGAAGAAAGAAAGACATGGACATCTTGGATGACATGGGGGTGAGTAAATTATCAGCAAAAGTTTTTTTTTTAAGTGAACTACTCCTTTAAGTCTGCTCAAAACTTTTGGACTCCCGATTAGGGCTCTTTCTTTTATAAAAAGATGGTTTTTTTAAAAAAAAATTATATTATTTAATGTAGGATGTTTTTATGGATTATTCTATGTGGCCTCATTAATTGCCCCTTGGGTACAAATAAAGTGGTTTGAAATTGAAATGATCCTGTTATTTAAAGTGTTCTATAATTCTATCTGGAATGTTCAGTGAACACACTATTTGAACAGTACATAAGTATGTGCATTGGGACGCACAGTATTACTCTTACACTGGAGCGTTGTGACACCAAAAGCCGTTTTCTCAGGGTCAAGCCAGCTTGGTAAACCAGGGCCTTGAACTTGTGACCTTCCAAGAGGTGCTTTCTGACTGGTGGCATAAGCGATTTCTAGACACTCTTGGAAGCGTGTTTTCGGTGCGGGGTTAATCACAGATCCAGCCTAAAAATACAAAACACAAAGAATATGTTATACCTGCACCAAAGACTTAATTGCAAGAAAAAAACGTTCTTTTCTCTCAACGTTTTTGGGTGAAACACAAATAGACAGTTTGAACATCAAGCAATAAGAACAAGAAGTTTTATGTCTTACATTAATGGATGATTTAGTGTTCACACCATGGACTAGAGCGCTGGCGATGTCAGGGTCATCTGCTTTTCCATGGAAGACCCGAAGTGTGCCGACGGGTGGCCGAGCAGATCTGACAAACTTCCTCACCACAGGTGGAGTTACAGGCTATATATATATATGAAGAGTTCAGATGCAAAAGCCTCTAAATGCCATTTCAAATTTTCTTCTTTAATGATGATTTTTATCAAACTTGTATATTTAAGTTCAGTAATTTCACTTAAATGGCAATGATAATTACCTATTAATTGTTATTTAAGTGAAATTACTGAACTTAAATATACAAGTTTGATAAAAATCATCATTAAAGAAGAAAATTTCAAATGGCATTTAGAGGCTTTTGCATCTGAACTCTTCATATATATATATATATATAATATCATAAAGATGTATAGCATGCATATATACAGTGTATACACACACACACACACACGCACTATATGTGTGTTTCACTATTAATCTTCTATGAATTACCCACCCTTGGTGTAATTTCCTGCAGACAAGACTTAGTTCTGTCTCCTACTGGAATGAGCTTCCCTGCCTTTAAGTGGAAATGAGCATACTGAGCATTTCGAAATATTTTAAGCAAAATAACAGTCGTAAGTGTAAAAGATCAAAACTTATTCTGAGAAATAATTAGTCATACCGCACGGATGGTTGGAAACGTGTCTCTGCGTCTCCGGGTGGACATATTCCGCTCGACGAGACTCACAGCTTTATTTACAACCAATTAACCATTCAAACAAACAACAAAAAAACAACAGCAGTGTTTGTTTACCTTCCGTTACCTGACAACGCAGGAAACCGGAGGAAACTCAGCGTCAACCTGACATTGGCGTGCACCTGTCACAAAATCTCTCTCTAAATGAAGCTGGTTTCTTTGCTATTTTAAAATTAGCCTGTATCTTTTATATACCTACAACAAATAGTAAAGTTGCCAGTGCGCTTTTAAACAGAAAAGGCTCGTGAATAAGTGAATAAATACATTCTTGTTTTGAAGTAAACCAACAAGTCCTTTGTTTTTTAATCATTATTTTTTTCAAAGGCTTAACAAATACTGAATATATTAATAAAATATATGACTTTTGCACAAAAAAATATCAGAAGTTAAATTGTTATAGGCCTAGATGATTATCCAGAGCATCCAAAAGTATAAAGTTTAAACTAAGTAAAAAGTATTTTAAAACTAGGCCTACTAATAATTACATCATATATATATATAGGCCTATATATATATATATATATATATATATATATATATATATACACTGCTCAAAAAAATAAAGGGAACACTTAAAAAGTAAAAAGAAGAAAAAAGTATTTAATAAGATTATTTAATTCATTCAGATCTATGATGCGTTATTTTAGTGTTCCCTTTATTTTTTTTGAGCAGTGTATATATATATATATATATATATATATATATATATATATATATATATATATATATATATATATTATAACCCATTGTGTTGTCGTGGGAATAACATTTTTGTCAGAAGCGCTGTTGTGATTGGCCGATTTCTCTCCGATGCGTCTGACGTCAGATCCAGTCATCCGATCCGTCTTCCGTCATCATCAGTATTGATGCGAAAGGGGAAGTTGGGAGGAACCGAGAGGAAGGTACGAGTCTTTGGGCTTTAGACATTTGTTCTGTTATATTAATGTAAGTCTTCTGGGCTTTGTATTTGAAGTAAAGCATACAGTTGTTCCGTTCAACTTTTTAACGGGTATATATAGATTTATGAGAGGTCTCGCTCAGTGTTATGTGCAGCATTACATGCAGAGCGCTCGGCCTGTTTTCCTCTTAGCATTAGCACTATTAGCTTTCATGAACCATTTGAACCGGGGCGTCTAAAAAAATGACAGACCCGATAAAGTACGGTTGAGACAGTCGAAAAACGATCATCAATAAGTTTAGTGGCTGTTTACATGTGTGTAATACAGAGAAAGAGAGGGATACATTATCATTAACATAGTTAGCATCACAAGCTAACAAGGCAGCTCGAGCTTCATATTATGACACTAAATACATTTTCCAGTTGAATAATTCAGTGATTTTATTTGATCATTCCTCTGAAATTGAAGTTAACGTTACTTAGTGACTTGTATGGTAAACACAATATTAGCCAATCAAAGCCTGCTGCGTTTGTTTTGATGAGCCGGACAATGCTAACGTTACACGTCAAACAAGTCAATCAAATCTAACCAATCTATCAAATCTAACCTGCAATGTTTATAAATGGCCATTTATCATCGTTTGTTTAAGTTAAAAGGGCTTAGAAGCAATTTCAAGTTCTGTCTGATCATAATAGACCTGTGTTTTGCACGGTCACTCTGTCTCATGATTTCTATATTACATAAGATATAAATAGAGTTATATATAAGTAAATATAGCCTAGAATATTAAGAGTTAGCTAACCAGAGAGGCAAATATTACATTAAGAAATCATAACTATGAGATAAAAAGTCTGAAGTATGACATACAAAGTCAAGATTAATAATTTACTTTTGATCTTATTTTTACTTTGTCATAATTATCTTAATGCATGAATTGTTTTGGGCTTCCATGCCATATTCAGTATGTAGTAAGCTTGCATTTCATTCCCAGCGTGGCTTTGGTTTTGTTTGGGGAATGATTAAAGGACACAAGGCTGGGTTTTGGGGTCAAAGCACAATGGATATTTAAGGCTTAACAAGAGTGGCAGTTCCTCAACAATGTCTGTCATCCATCGTTTAGTCATGTGACCGCATTGGAATGGATGTAATGAATGGCATGACAAACTACACAATAGATTTCTATATCAGTGTTACTTAAACTTATAACCAGTCTCTCAAATATTAGGAGGGGCTCAGTCCTGCTCCTGAAGATCTGGGTATCAATTTACCTTTTTTGAAAAATCCCAAAGCAGATTTTTGTTCATATTTCAAAATAAGGAAAATGGCATAGTTAGTTATCATCCACCAATGCACCCCTTGTTATCCTCGGGATGTATTTGGTTAACCCCATTTGAAATACAAGAGCCGACTATACTGTACAGTCCCAGCCCTGCATCTCCACAAGCAGGAATAGACACCTGATGATTGATATATATTAACAGTGTTGTGAATTGAGAAGTGATACTAGATTGTTAATGTTTGTTTCCGCAGATCTGGGAGTGAGTGTTTGAGAAGCACCTCTTGACTTCAGTACGGGAGATTGGGCTCAGGGTCATGGCAGGAAGAGGTGGAGCAACGCGACCTAATGGGCCGAACGGCGGCAACAAAATCTGTCAATTCAAACTAGTGCTTTTGGGAGAATCTGCTGTGGGGAAGTCAAGTCTAGTCCTTCGCTTTGTAAAAGGACAGTTTCACGAGTTTCAGGAAAGCACAATAGGAGGTACGACTTCATTTCGGTGTATAAAAACACGGTCCGCGATTCTTATATTTAGTGTTAGTCTTAGTCCTGTGTCAAATGCACTTTTTAGTTATCATATTTCGTCAACCTTGTTTTGTTTTTGTCAAGTTTTAGTGGCCCAAAATGATGAAATTGATAATAGGCTAACGATTATTTTGTTCAAAATTATAAACGATTGTTGTCATTTGAGAATTTATTTTTACATTAACACTTATATAAGCAGTGTCAACTCATACACATGGTTTCCGTGTTTTTTAATAGGCTATTTGTCATAAGTTAACCCATTCTCTACATAATGAAAACATTATAAAATTCCTCACAGTAATTCCAATAATTACATTCATGTTTTTCTACCAAAACAACAGCAATAAATGCCTGTTTGTTGTCACAAAGAGCTACGCAAGTGCATTTATTCATATAGTTGAGAGATTCATGTTTGGATTTATTACAATAAATCACAGATGGTCACAGCAACCAGCGCAAGCGGCTCGTATTTATACTGCATTGAAACTGCAAAAAACTGTGGCCCATGCAAACGAAATTTCTGTTGTATTATGAATGACAATAAAGTCTGTCAAGTCGTGAAGGAACACAGACGGGCTGAGTGACACTTTCATTTAAGCAGAATATCTCAAATGGAGATCGAGCTTACTTGTTTGTCTGTTTTCAGATCATTGACGGCACTACCGCAGTGTAGAGACAGTGTGTGTTTATGGTTGCCAGATTGCAAATATTAAGTAAAACACAGATTAGAAAATGTATCGTTTTAAAAGAAAAGGGGTAACACTTTAGTGCATAAGACTAACATGACACCTAATAATCATGACATGACATATTATGAATATGAAGTTTTATGCAACTGTCATTAAGTGTCATTCACTCAGTTATGACATTTTTAATGCAAATATGACATTGATTGACACCTTGACATAAACCAACACATCATAACCTGTCAGTGTCTTTGTCATGACAACTTGACATTACTAAGACAACACAACCTGTCATAAACATGATTAATGATCAAACTTAAGAAAGCACCTCGCTTTATTGGTTAACATTACATTAAACTGTCAGGTGGTTGGTTTTGACATTGGCTTTCATGAAGCCATTATAACTTTTTAATGACAAATTCGATGTGCACCACTGTAGTTGAGGGGTCACGAAAAATATTCCTGACACAGTTAATAACGGCCTCATGATAGTCAATGTCAAAGCCAACCACATGACAGATTAACTCAATTTTATGTCAAGTTGTCATGACAAAGACATCTTAAATGACAGTTGTCATAAACCTTACTTCATATTCAAGACATATGTCATGCACACCCCTTCAAGCAAAGTGTTACCAGAAAGGGTTTGATTGGGAGATTTAAAATCTTGACATCTGTTAACCGCAAGCATGAAAGCTCGTAAAGACTTCTTAAAAACAGTCTAATATTTGATTTCCCCCCTTTAGTCTCATTTTTACGGAGGCGTATTGCATTCACTTGAAGAAAAAAAATCTACTCTGTTTTTCTGAATTAATGAGTTAATTTTTCATGAGAAAAAAAATTTCTCTGTTTTTCTGAATTAATGAGTTAATTTTTCATGAGAAATTTTTTTTTTGCTCTGTTTATCTGAATTAACGAGTTAATTTTTCATGAGAATTTTTTTTGCTCTGTTTTTCTGAATTAACGAGTTAATTTTTCATGAGAAAAAATTTTTTTGCTCCGTTTTTCTGAATTAATGAGTTAAGTTTTCATGAGAAAAAAAAGTTTTTGCTCTGTTTTTCTGAATTAGAGTTAATTTTTCATGAGAAATTTTTTTTGCTGTGTTTCTGAATTAATGAGTTAATTTTTCGTGAGAAAAAAAGTTTTTGCTCTTTTTTTCTGAATTAACGAGTTAATTTTTCATGAGAAAAAAATTTGCTCTGTTTTTCTGAATTAATGAGTTAATTTTTCATGAGAAAATTTTTTTTGCTCTGTTTTTCTGAATTAATGAGTTAAGTTTTCATGAGAAAAAAAGTTTTTGCTCTGTTTTTCTGAATTAGAGTTAATTTTTCATGAGAATTTTTTTTTGCTATTTTTCTGAATTAATGAGTTGATTTTTCGTGAGAAAAAAAGTTTTTGCTCTGTTTTTCTGAATTAACAGAAAAACAGAGCAAAAACTTTTTTTTCATGAAAAATTAACTCATTAATTCAGAAAAACAGAGCAAAATATTTTTTTTTTCATGAAAAATTAACTCATTAATTCAGAAAAACAGAGCAAAATATTTTTTTTCTCATGAAAAATTAACTCGTTAATTCAGAAAAACAGAGTAGATTTTTTTTCTTCAAGTGAATGCAATACGCCTCCGTACATTTTAGTCAGAGAAAAAGGACATTTTTCTGTAATTAAAATGAACACTAATGTTAATGCACTTACAGATGGAAAGTATGACTAAAATCTTATATTACGGTATACACACGCACACCATGATATAGAAAAATGCCTAATTACAATCATTCACTAGATGGCAAGACCTAACCCGTCCCTGTCCTCTCTCCGCTAGCTGCCTTCTTGACTCAGACAGTGTGTTTGGATGACACAACAGTGAAGTTTGAGATCTGGGATACAGCCGGCCAGGAGCGCTACCACAGTCTGGCTCCAATGTATTACAGAGGAGCACAGGCGGCCATAGTGGTGTATGACATCACGAATGAGGTGAGTCCTTAATACATACTCTGCAGTTTAAACAAGGAATCCCATTTATCAACCTCTTTTGAGATTGTACTATAACTCAACACTTCCTCCCATGTCCAAAAAGAGCATTTATTGAAACCAAGCTGCCAAAAGCTGGCTTGTTCTTAAATCCTTTCAGCATGTGAATGCAGCAAAGTGCCGTTACTCATTTCACTTGTGAAAAGAGTGTTTACATAGATATAAAAAAACATCCCATTTAATGCTACAGGTCAGAAAATCATTATGAAAAACTAAATTATCACTTATATTATAAGTGGACCCGTCGGGGAGAAAATAATATGAAAAAAAATTAATGAAGCACAAATGAGAGAGCTCTGAATCCAAAAAAAATGCTTGTTGTGTTTTTTACTTCAGGAATCATTTACACGTGCGAAAAACTGGGTGAAAGAGCTTCAGAGACAAGCCAGTCCAAATATTGTAATAGCTTTGGCTGGAAACAAGGCAGACCTTGCCAACAAGCGAGCGTTGGACTTTCAGGTTTGTGATGTTTGAACAGTCACAGAGGAGCAGACGCTTCCTGTTGGCTTTACAAATGAGATGTGGAACTGTTGATAAACAAACAAACATGCCGTGCAGACTTCCAGACGTCTGTTTAGAGCCTCAAACCATGACTTCTTCTCGTCTCCTTCACAGGATGCACAGTCGTATGCAGAGGACAACAGTTTGCTCTTTATGGAAACGTCGGCAAAGACTTCAATGAACGTGAACGAGATTTTCATGGCCATTGGTAAGTTAACTACTTTAACCTGCTACTTATTCTGCTGTTCAAACGTGATTTATGCTTTTTAAAATACTTTTTTATTTGATCAAACAGTTTGAATACATGTTAAATTGCTGAAAAATTTAAAAATGCTGTTTTCTATGCGAATATATCGTGAAACGTAATTTATTCCTTTGAATAAAGCTGAATGTTCATCATTTGGGTCACATGATCCTTCAGAAATCACTCTAATATGATGATTTGCTGCATAATAAATTGTTAAAAACAGTTGTGCTGCTGCTTTATATTCTATGGAAACATTTTCTCGGGATTCTTTCATGAATGGAACCTCATTTATTTGAAATATAATCTTTTGTAACATTATAAATGTCTTCACCGTCACTTTTGATTAGTTAAACCCTAAAACTGTATTCTGGACAAATGTGGGCAAATAGTTTTGATTTATTTTTTAAAAATACTTCCCTTGATCTGAGCGGTACAAGACTTGGCTACTTTTCCTAAGTTTGCCTCCTGAACACACAATTTTTTTTTTTTTTTTACTCAATTCTACAATGTTAAGTGGGTGAAAAAAAAACCTCCTTAATCCTGTATTTGGGTCAAAAATGGGCAGAAATGAATGGGAAAAACTGTAATTTAGAGCATTCTAAAATAAGCCAAAATAAGACACCAGGTGACGGCAAAGTCACCTCATCTTTAGGTTTTAGCTCTAAGAACTTATTGGAATGATATTTTAATGTAGTTAAAAAATAAAACATAAAAATAAGCATTATTTACATTGAAAATATGATACTTTTTGAAGTAAATAAATTCAAAAATACCTCCAAAATAAAAAATAACACCATAAATGGATAGACAAAACTTTATGGAAGACAGTGATGTAACATTTATAATAAATAAAAATTAGGATCACACCCGAGTCCTCTGTGCCCACATTAGTCCACAATTACAGGATTAAGGGCTACAAGGTACAAAAATGTCAACATGAGCCTCATCTCGCCTCACTTTCAGGGTTGTGAAAACGTAAAATCGATGTGCATCTAATAAATGATTAATTCAAGAGTGTTGTTCAAGTTTACTGCAACAATAGTGCTGCGAACTTCACATAGTTTTGAAAATCGAGTGTTTAGTTGATTCTGGTGTGCGTTGTAGCCTAAACACGACAGCTTTCCTCTTCCATGAGCGGGTTTGGCCTCACGACGGCTTTGTACAGAACGCGACGCAGAGATTGGTTGAGAATTCAACCAATCAGACGACGACTCCCGAAGTGTTTCCAGAGCCCGTCTAACGGAGAGCCTTGGCACTTCCTATTAGCCCCGTTGTGTATCATCTTGGTTGCAGTTCCATTAGAATTCCACTGGAGGTGATCATGAGCGAGAGCAGAATGAATGGGAGTCTATGGGGCTAAACGGCTAAAAGTGTCTCTTTCTCCTGCTTGTCGTTAAATTAACATAGATTTTATTGTTGATTCTGCAAGTTCAATATAGATTATAGGCCAAAAGTCGAATGAACGAGTACTTATGTCCTTTTGATTTCTTACAGGTTAGGCCGCTGTTGGCCAGAACACGCTAGCATTCTGCTATTGTGTGACGTCATCACATTTTTGAACAGATTTTTAGAACAGATAAGTGAAGTTAAAAATGCAATTTTCAGCTGAGTGTATTATCTTAGCCCTCCCTTTTGAATGCAACTTTCAAATTACTTGACAAAAAATTACATCCTGAGAAAAGTGGATTTCTGGGGGTGAAACCCCATTGACTCCCATTCATTCTGCACTCGACCGCCAGCGCCCCCGCATGGACAGAGACGCGTTACTGCAGCCAGTCCAGAACCCGGAAGTAACCAGCCAGTGCCAATTCTCCTCAATTAGACATTCTCTGGTGATTCCCATTTTTGTGTGCCTTATGCATCTGACGTTCACTAAGACTAGCATGGTTTTGACTACCCTGAATTTTGTACTGGGGAAAAACGTCACGTTTTGGTTTTTTCTTCGAATGGCATTTCATCTTAACGTGTAATATTTCCCTGTTCTGTCTTTGCACCCTTAGCAAAGAAACTGCCCAAGAACGAGCCCCAGCCTGCAGGTGCCAGCACGGGACGCAACAGAGGCGTGGATCTGACAGAAACGGCACAGCCCACGAAAGGTCCCTGCTGTAGCACCTAAACGCCGACGCTCCTCACCTCCTAACCAACCGCGTCACGTCTGGACACGGGGCTCCTCCTTCCAAACCTCGCTCCGTGGATTAGCTAAAGACTCTGTATAGCTGGGTTTCTAATACTTTTTTTTACTTTTTATTTTTAAGAAAATATATGTAAATCTGCAGTCTACTGGATGCATGTATCACTACAAAAGCTAAATACACATTTTAACTCAATTCAGCAGGAGAACAAAGGAGAGCGTTTAGTATATGAAACTGATTACCTTATGACCAGGCCCAGGAACAATCTGCAGAAAAAGGATTTAAGCCTGTTAAATGAAGCTATTGTTATCGGTAGCTAAGCGTAATCATCAAATTAGCCGGCATATTTAATAATAAACCCCATGAACGCATTACAATCTGCTTATGACTCAATGTTCAAGAGTTTTAAAACTGCTCGTGAAAAACTAGATCCTCCGTCAGAGCCGGTCTAACGTTGGTTGTGGGTTTTAGTTTGGATGCAGTAGCTTGTTGTTCCTCAATGCGCCTCGAATGAGAATGACGGGCCATCATTACCAGTGTAACGATGAGTTGCTGAATTAGAGTAAAACATGTTCAGCCTGCTGTATTGATTATAATTATTATTATTATTAATTGGGACTGTATTCTCATCTCTGTTATGCTTATAATCTTAATGTCTGGCCCATATGGAATCGGTTTTTAAACACGTGTTTAATGGACGACAGCGGTTTAATGGACGATAAACTAACCAAGGTATTTAATGGGGAAATTAAAGGTGTAGTTCACTTTTTTTTAAAACAACTTTTCCTGATAATTTCCTCACCCACATGTCATCCAAGATGTCCATGTCTTTCTTTCTTCAGTCGAAAAGAAATTAAGGTTTTTGATGGATTTTCTCCATATAATGGACTTCAATGGGGACCAAACGGTTCAAGGTCCAAATGAGAGTTTCAGTGCAGCTTTAAACGACACCAGACGATGAATAAGGGTCTAGAACTCTTCGAAAAAAGATTCGTTCATTTTGATGAATGAGTTAATTTTGATGAACGTGCATCACAGAACAGAGCAAAGTGAGCATTTGTGCTTATAAAACTTAAACTTTATTTATTTTTGAAATGAGCGCTCGTTTTGCTTGATAAGACCCTTTTTCATCGTCTGGTGTCGTTTAAAGCCCTTTGAAGCTGCATTGAAACTCTCATTTGGACCTTGAACCGTTTGGACCCCATTGAAGTCCATTATATGGAGAAAATCCTGGGATGTTTTCATTAAAAACCTTAATTTCTTTTCGACTGAAGAAAGAAAGACGTGGACATCTTGGATGACATGGGGGCGAGTAAATTATCAGCAAAAGTTTGTTAAGAAGTGAACTACTCCTTTAATGGGAAAATTAACTCTTTCCTCGCAAGCATTTTTTATCTTTCACGGTCCCCAGAATATATCTGAACATGCAATATAACAAATGCATTAAAAACTTAATGCATTCTGGTTTTTATTAACACTTGAAATTAATCAAAAGCAACATTTTGAGCAAATGACGAGATTCAGAGCGACGATCAAAACACAGATGTAGTAGATCGAGTCCATCAACACCATAAACGCCTTCATTTGATTTATATGCGCTTTTATGACGGTGATAGATTACATGTGCATCAGCAAAGCCTGATCAGGAGGTTTCAGGAGACGTGTAACAGCGCCCTCTACTGTAGGACACTGAAAACTTGGTGTAAAATGATGTGGGCGATTGAAATCTGCAAATTCCATATGGGCCTTGACAATGATCAGTTAACACACACACACACACACACACGGACATTTCCCTGCAGTTTGTATTGTAATCTCACAGGTAGTCATGAGCAAAAAAACGTACACGTACTCTGAGGACTAAAGGCAAATTTAAATAAGTGCCGTCGAACAAGACTCACAAGACTCTGTGAGGGCCTTCGTTTCGAAACATGACTCTTTAAATGTTTCCCGGGCAGAAAGAAACACATGATTTAGATTTGCCTCCCATGACGGACAGTAATTTGCACACTGTACAGCCTACTTCCAGTTTCTTTTCCCAGAGAATCATGTTTAATGGTGTATGTAGTGTTATTAACAAATGAACTTGACATTTAGTCAGTGGTCTGTCTTGTACCTTCTCTCAAAATGCTCCATGTTTTTATTTCCAAGAACCTATTGAATTGCACAATTTTGAGTTGAGTATTTTTTTTCTAGTTATAAAATTGTGTCTGCCTGTCGTATCCGAAACGATTTCATCATGGACTACAGTGGACTTTAACACTCCTGAAGTAGCACAGGTAGCTGCGCTCAAACTAACTGGCAGACGTTCAGTAATCCAACAGTAACACTGAGAGACTGATCGGTTTTTAATGTCCAGGTACCAGTACATTTCCAATAAAGGGGGTGAAATGTATACATATACATGCTGTTAATGTTCCTGTTCTGTTAATGTTTCATTCATACATGCATATCGAATATAAACGCTGTATGCACACTCTCAGAAAGAAAGGTACAAATGCTGTCACTGGGGCTGTACCGTTTCAAAAGGTAAACTTTTGTCCAATTCAGGAGATAATATGTACATTTTAGGTACTAGTATGTCCATTTCAGGAGCTAAAATGTCAATTTTAGGTGGTAATATGTACATTTCAGGTGCTAATATGTACTTTTTAGGTGTTAATATGTACATTTTAGGTGCTACTATGTCCATTTCATGAGCTAATGTCCATTTTAGGTGGTAATATGTACATTTTTGGTGCTAATATGTACATTTTAGGTACCAATATGTACTTTTTAATTATTAATATGTACATTTTAGGTGCTACTATGTACATTTCATGAGCTAATATGTCCATTTTAGGTGGTAATAAGTACATTTTAGGTGCTAATATGTACATTTTAGGTGGTAATATGTACATTTCAGGTGCTAATATGTACTTTTTAAGTGTTAATATGTACATTTTAGGTGCCACTATGTCCATTTCATGAGCTAATGTCCATTTTAGGTGGTAATATGTACATTTTTGGTGCTAATATGTACATTTTAGGTACCAATATGTACTTTTTAATTATTAATATGTACATTTTAGGTGCTACTATGTACATTTCATGAGCTAATATGTCCATTTAAGGTGGTAATAAGTACATTTAAGGTGGTAATATGTACATTTTAGGTGCTAATATGTACATTTTAGGTGCTAATATGTACCAATAAGTACCAATATGCAGCCTTTGGGTACAAATGTGTACCTTTTGAAAAGGTACAGCCCCAGTGGCAGCTTTTGTACCTTTTTTTCTGAGAGTTCAATAACGTTTGCTTTTTTGAGGTGAATTATCCAGTTTGAGGAGACGTGCATTAAGTTCCCTCGCAGTATTTTTAGTTGAGCTCTGAATATTGTGATGAAACATGCAGCATCAGCATTTCCATTGTATGTTTCTTCACAATTTCTGTGGTATTTTAATTCTGAATCCTGTGCAGAAATGTCACATTTTAAGTGGCCACATTTTTATATGAAAATATATATATGATATAAATCATATGCCAGGCTTCATTATATAGATTTGTAAATATATTGAAAGGGAATATTTTATTGAACCTTTAGACAAAACATTTTTTTACATAGTTTGCATACCTATTTTATGTTTTGTATCATATTTGATTCATCAGACTTTTATGATTCATAGTGAGGAGCAATTTAGTGAAGATGCTTATGTTTATTTGGCTAAAAAGTAAGATGAAATGTAAATCAATGAGATCTTTATAACAGATACTTACATAGGTCAAATATCGGCTGCCACTCTATCTCTATAAAGATTTGTTCATTTCGATGAACGAGTTCGAACAGGAGAGTCACGAACGCACGTCACAGAACAGAGCAAGGTGAGCATTTGTGCTTATAAAACTTAAACTTTTTTTTATTTATTTTTTAAATGGCCACTCGTTTCGCTTGATAAGACCCTGCACTGAAAGCTGCACTGAAACTCTCTTTTGGACCGTGAACCGTTTGGACCCCATTGAAGTCCATTATATGGAGAAAATCCTGGGATGTTTTCATTAAAAACCTTAATTTCTTTTCGACTGAAGAAAGAAAGACGTGGACATCTTGGATGACATGGGGGTGAGTAAATTATCAGCAAAAGTTTTTTTTTAAAGTGAACTACTCCTTTAACATGAAAAAAAAAAAAGATCAAACCTAAGTTGCATATTACTAATATCATGACCTTTGCAATTGTACAAAAGGCCTTTTACTTATTTCACAGCTATCAATGTCATATAGCCTAATCATATTACTTACAGAGCTTTCCCAGTTTTGATCATGTTGACGATACAAGCCTTTGAAATGTGCGTATGATGTCTACAGAAAAAGATAAAGATAAAGATAGTTAATGTCTTGCCTAAACTTGATTTGAAAGTCCTCTATATAGACAGTCCAAATGTCGAGTTTCTGGAGCAGGAATCACTGTTATTAAGGTGTCGAGGTCTCTTATTAAAAAAACAAACACATTGCTTTTTTTCACATTTTCTGAATTTGCTTAATAATTACCATAAACAAGTTGTATTCGAGGAAAATCACCTGTTTATCTGCCTCCGCTTTAACATAACTCCTTAAACGAGGATAGTAATAGTTGTGCGTGTGCAGATTAGTTACTGACCACATTACCCACTTTTCAAGTAAAACTTAATTTGTTTTTCGGCGTTAAAAGCGTTTTCCTTACCTGCACTTGCTCCTCCTGTCCAGGAGAGGGCGGCGGGACTCTTCTCCAGATGTGCGCGATGCGGAAGATGTTTTTCTACTTAAAAAAGCTCAAACTTTACACTTTCAGTGTTTTAAGTTGAGCACGGCTTTAAAAGTTTCCCGATGTGAGTTTTCCAAACAGCTCCACCGCACTCCAGCCAGACTGAATCAGGCTAATTTGTTGTCCAGGTGATGCAAATTACCCAGAGGCCATTGTGGTTTGTGTGAATCAAAATCAATATGCATGCAAATTGGACATGGCCCAATTCATCTGGGTCGATACGCACATTCTGACAAGTAGCCAATCACTGATTGAGAAAACACCGGCCACAGAATGAAAATTAAATAAATAAAAGTTTAAGTAGCATAGCAATTAGCGTGGATTAGGCTAGCTAGTCCAATTCAACACTGTTTACAGGAATTCACATGCTGTGCGTCATTAGCCTATGGTTCTTGAATTTTCTCACAAATAAGATTTCATTTCAACTATTTAATAAACATCTGAAAAACCAAGCATTAACTTTAATGCATGAATTAATGAACTGGACGACTCTCACCTCCATTTATTGAAGAAAATCTCACATAAGAACCTACTTGACAAATTTGGGAGCCATTTTAGGTGTTAGGTTACAATTGAAACGACTAAAAATGAGGAAAACTATCTAAAAATCCCAAAGAATATTGACAAGGACAGTGAGTGATATAAGTGATATTTTTATGCATGATTACACTTTCCAGAGAGCCGACATTCCTGTATTTAAAATCTTTTTTTATTGATTTCATGTCATGTTCATGTTCTAATTATGAATTTGGGGTTTTTAGAAGCTTTAAGCCATAATCATCAAAATTATAACAAATAAAGTGTTGAAATATCTCATATGCATGTATATATTAGTTTCACCTTTTAAGTTGAATTACTGAACTTTTGCACAATATGCACACTTTCACCTGTATAAAAGATGGCGTTAATTTGTGGTCTTCTGGTGATTCGAAATGTTGCTATTTTCTTAACTAATGACAAGAATTGGAAGAGTGGGACATGTTTTGTCC